GCTTGGTTCGCTCATGATAGGCTGAATTCTTCGACAAGTGTATTGCACTTTAATTATCGCATTTAATAGTGATAACTTGACCTTGAAGTTGCAGCTCATTTGCAAAACCTTCAAGCCACAATTCCTCCTTCATAGCTTCAGTTAGGGAGATATATTCTGCTTCAGTGGTTGATAAGGTAACAACCTTCTGAAGTGTTGATTTCCAACTGATTATTGTACCAAACATAGTGAACACATATCCATAAATAGATTTTCTGGAATACATACACCGTGTATAATCAGAGTCGACATATCCTTCGAGTCCTGCTTTACTATCTTCACCCAAGGCTCCACCATAAATTAGGACTCTGTTCAGAGACCCATTTATGTACCTTTGAATCCACTTAAATATTTTCCATTCAGCCTTTCCAGAATTCGCCATGTACCTGCTTACAAAACTTACTACATATGCTATGTCGGGTCTAGTACATACCATAGCATACATCAAAGAACCCACTATATTAGCATATGAAATGTTATTTATATAAGCTCTTTCGACATCAGTATTGAGACACTGATTTGTACTCAGCTTGAATTGAGGGTTTGTCAGAGTCACAACAGGCTTTGAATTCGACATACCAAACTTTTCGAGAATCTTCCATAGGCATTCCTCTTAAGATAAGCATAATTTCGACTACTTTCTATCTCTTCAGATGTCAATTCCAAGAATCCTGGATGCAACTCACAGATCCTTTATTTCGAACTCTTTACTGAGTTCAGCCTTCACCCTCATTACATCTTTGACATTGTTGTTTGCCATTAGAATATCATCCACATAAAGCAACAAAATAACAAATGGATTACCAGGTCAAAATCTGAAGTAAACACAGTGGTTGAACTGACTTCTAATGAAATTTATGTGTGCCATGAGCTTATCGAATCTCCTATTCCACTATCGAGGAGATTGTTTTAGTCCATATAAAGATATTTTTAGCTTGCACACATAATCTTCCTTCCCTCTTTTGACATACCTTTCAGGTTGCCTCATCAGGATTGTTTCATCTAGATCACCATATAAGAATGCAGTCTTCACATCCATCTGTTCCAATTCAAGTTCGAATTGTACCACTGTGGCAAGCAACATTTGAATGGATATGTGTTTCACAGTAGAAGAGAACACATCATTGAATTCGACACCTTCTTTACTTTGAAAATCCATTTACAACTGACTAACCTGGCTCCTGCAGGTTTCTTGATCAGTTCCCAGGTGTTGTTATCATGAAGAGATTTCATCTCATCATCCATGGCCTTCAACCATTCAGTTCCATTTCGACTCCTCATAACTTCCTTATAGTCATTAGGTTCTTCGTTTAGAACCTCACTTGCAAAGATTAAGGCACAAGCTATAAGATCTGCATACCCAAGTCTCTGAGGTAGCTTGATGACTCTCCTCGACCTGTCTCTTGCTAGCAGATAGTTATTATCAGTCTCCTCATCTTTGATAGCAGCTTCTGCTTCTTCTTCGACTTCATCTGGGGCATGCAATCCAGCATCAACATGTTCCACCTCAACATGAATCTTTCCTTGTTCCAACTCTTCGACAGCATCACCAGTTTTCTTGAAGGTCATCTCAGCTTCATCAAAAACTACATCTCAATTGGTGATACACCTCCTGTGACTTGCCTCTAGGCACCATATCCTATAAGCTTTGACTACTTCATAGTATCCCATTAACATACATTTCAGAGCTCTAGGTTCGACATTATCTTGCCTAATGTGAGCATAGACCACACAGCCAAATTCTTTCAGTTTGTCAAGATCTGGTGGATGTCTCGACCTAATTTCTTCAGGGGCCTTCATATCTAACACAGTCAAAGGATATTGTTTATCAGATATGTTGTTGTCGAAACAGACTCATCCCAAAACACATTCTTTAACCCAACACTAGTTAACATGCATCTAACTTTTCCCAAAATAGTTCGATTAAACATTTACGACAACCTATTTTATTATGGAGTACCTATAGTGGTTTTGTTCCTTGCAATACTTGAGGCAACAAAAAAGTTGTTAAACGCCTCATTGCAAAATTCAAGGTCATTGTCGGTTCTCAACCTCTTGACCTTTCTGCCAGTCTGATTTTTGACCAGAGTCTTCCAACCTTTAAAATTCTCAAAAGTTTCATCCTTAGTCTTCTGGATGAATACCTATAACTTTCTGGAATAACCATCAACTATGGATAAGAAATACCTTGCTCTTGAATGTGATGGGCATCTTGCAGACCCCTAAAGATCAACATGGATGTAATCAAGGGATACATGTGTTCTTTATTTTCCTTTGTTGAACTTCACTCTGCAGGTTTTTCCAAGTATACAAGGTTCACAAATTTTCAGCTTTTCGACTTTGTCTCCACCAAGCAGATTTTGTTTCTCCAATTCGACCAGACCCCTTTCACTGACATGGCCTAATATCATGTGCCAAATTTATGTCTTCGAAAAAGGTTTTGTGGAAGCAACATTAGTCGAACCACTTACAACTTCAGCCTCAAGGGTATACAAACCTTGTTTTCTCACATCTCTCAAGATTTCCTTCGACCCTTTCATGACTCTTAGGATATTTTTCTCTCCTTGGAAAACATATCCCTTCTTGTCAAATTCGCCAAGAGAAATCAAATTTCTCTTCAAATCAGGTACGTACTTGACTTCAGTCAATAGCCTTATTGACTCATCGTGGAGCTTGAATCTCACAGATCCAATACCTGCAATTTTGCAAGCTTTGTTATTTCCCAACAGCACTGATCCACCATCTTGGTCACATAGCTCCTTAAACAATTCTCTATTTAGGGTCATGTGCCAAGTGCAACCTGAATCCATAACCCATTCTTTTCTTGAGTCGCTGCTTGAAACCACAAGGACATCAAATGAGTCAAAGTCATCTTGCATAATGATTGCATTACCATTATCCTTACCTTCATGATCTTTTAGGCGCTCAGGGCACACCTTTCTTGTGTGACCCTCCTTCTTATAATGATAGCATCGAATACTAGATGCCTCACCACTATAAGACTTCTATTGACTTTTACCTTTCTTCTTGTCGAACTTACCATCCTTTCGCAAGATTTTTCCCTTAATGGCCAAACCTTCACCAACCATCGAAGGTTTATGCTCCGTTCATTCGTTCAAGTCCTTATAATACAAGGCTGATTGAACTTCTTCAAAGCTCGGGGACTTCCTTCCATACAGGAGAGTTTCTTTGAAGTGAGCATGTGAAATGAACAGAGCTTGATCTTGATCATCGATCTTCACATTAATATTTTCAAGATCAAGAATCAGTTTGTTGAACATATCTAACTGCTCAGCCAACACTTTATCTTCACTCATCTTGAATGAATATAAAGTTTGCTTTAGGTAGAGCCGATTCACCAGAGATTTGGTCATGTACAAACTTTCAAGTTTCAACCATAACCTCGATGTCGTCGTCTCCTTTGATACCTGTCGGAGAACCTTATCACCAAGGCTAAACAATATTGCACTGTGAGCTTTATCTATCATGGTCGTCTTTTCTTTTTTCGTTAACGCAACGTCTATGGTTGCCTCTCCCTTCAATGCTTCTAAACAACCCTGCCGAACCAGTAGGTCTTTCATCTTCAAGCGCCACAGACCGAAATCATTCACTCCGGTGAACTTTTCAATCTCATACTTTGTTGAAGGCATCTCCTCCACGCTCACCGCACCAATTTGTTGTGAAAAACGTTGTCTTGAAACAAGTATAAAGGGTTTCTTTATGATCAAGGAACACACAAGGGTTAGGGTTAACGGAAAAACAAGAAGAAAAATAACAAGGATTGGTTATAACTATTATTCTTTACTTTCTCTTTAAATCAGATTACAAGTACTCAAGAATAACAAATGACTCTCTCACACTAATTAGGATTTTGTCACACTTAAGATGAGAGACTAGTATGTTATTTATAATAAACCTAACATACTAAACTAATGGGCTTTTTAACAATTATCCATTACAAGCTAACTTAGGGTACTAACTAACTTAAACAATTGGATCCTTAACACAAGGCTCAAGTTGACAACTACATACTAGAACACATGTCGATACAGCATATAAATACTTCAACAACAGCATGTGAACAGACTTCGACGGCAAGTTAAACATTTGTCGACAATACTAGAGTTCGATCAAATATCTCACATATCTTATGTGATTGTCACTTATCGCAATACATCAGTGATGAATTATATTGCAAAAATATTATCTACATCATATGTTTTATTGTCTCGGTATCACATAATAAAAAAGTAAGATCTAAAATTAAAATAGTCTTGGAAAAATAATCAATAAAGAGTGAAGACGGAAAAATTGTCAAACCTACACAAATTTAAAATCTATAATGAATGCGTGAAATGCTATAACCAATTCTTCTTCAGAGAATCATATGTTGATTTTATCATGCGATTTAAAAATGTGTGAATGTCTTTTTCTTTTTTTTTTTGAAATATATTGAAACTATAATATTAGATTAGGCGGAGAAGAAAATGGTTTGTACATAGGATCATGTTAGACATTTTGCCAACACCACAACAAACTGATTTGAGTTTGCTCATTCTAAATTGAAGAAATAGTTAGAAGAGAGTAAGGGTGATTTTTATACAGATTGAAAATATCATTGTATTGTATCACATACAAACATCTTTTAGTAAACGTATTAGTGTGCTAGAACATAAGTTTAAGGATAAAAGCTTGTATTCAGAGTTGGTTGGAAATTTATTTTGTGCAGTCGGCAATTTTATTTACCACAAACACTCTAAGTGGATGAAAGTGACCTTATACTTTGCAATAGAATCAAAGTAAACCAGTACACAAGGGAGAATAATAAAAAGTTGTAACAGCTTCCTTGCCACATTTTGCAAAGTTTCCATACATATACTCCAATGATGACTATATTCTAATCATCCCTCTACCTTTAACATTCCCAATATTTTTCTCAATTTATTTGTGATCATCTTTCCATGGCCACCTTCCTTTTAAGGTCTAACAAAATGGTCCATGCCTTGACCTGGTTTTGTCTCGTGCTAATGATTCATAATGGTGCTTCCTATGAGTTCATAGTTGGTGGCCGAAAAGGTTGGAGTGTTCAAGGTGACTCCAGTTTCAATCCTTTCAATCAATGGGCTGAAAAGAGCCGTTTTCAAGTAGGAGACTCCCTAGGTAAGACTTATACTTCAATCTAATCATATACATATTGTTACACTATTGAAATATTTGCTAGAAATTTTGAAGGAAAAAAACTTTGATGAAAATTACAATGTTTGTGCATGGTTACTGCAGTGTTCAACTATCAAACTGGCCAAGACTCAGTGTTTTATGTAAAGAGTGAAGACTATGCAAGTTGCAACACTGCTTCACCTTATGCAGAATTCTCTGATGGTCACACAGTTTTCAAACTCAACCAATCAGGCCCTCATTTCTTCATCAGTGGAAACAAAGACAACTGTGTCAAAAATGAGAAAATAAAAATCATTGTTCTGTCTGACAGAAGCAAAAGCAACAGTGGTTCCGGTTCATCAAACACTAATCAAACAAGCAATGTTTCTCCGCCTTCGCCACAGTCATCGTCATCGCCTCCTTCACCAGCTCCTTCTAAGCCAGATGGTCAATCTCCATCACCATCTAGTGATCATTGTCATCCTATTCGCAATGCCGCTTCTTCGCTCTTTGTCAGCTTTGCTGGTTTTGTGGGAACATTCTTGGCTTCAGTTCTAATTTTATCTAAGTATGTTTAGGTGGTCGAGTATTGATTGAACGATTTATTTTATTTTTATTTTGTTTTCTATTTGATTTCCCAAGTTTTGAGTTCAGTGTGAATTATGTCTTTGGTTCATTGAGATGCTGTTTGATATTTGTTTGTGAAGATTGAAAAATAAGTTAGCTATAGTTTATATACACTTTTGTGTGCTTCTTGCTCAATAATGTAAAAATGTTGTAATGCTAAAATGAGATGAATTAAACTTTATTTTTTCTAAACAGCACGAGATGCTGTTGTAGAGTATCTTTTCTGAGTGTACAAGTGGTGGATATGGGGTAGTGTTGTAGAGTATAAATTTTTAAATGTTATATTAAGGTCATGGATATTACTCAACAAGAGGAACTATGTGACCAAGAGGAGTCCAATGAATGTACCAGAAAGAATAGGAGTATAATCCAGGCCTTCTGTATCAAATCCACCTTTTTACACATTCTTCTCTCTAACAATAGAATTCTAAATGGAAGAACATGTAATAGAGAAAAAGGAGAGTAAAGGGCATTAGACAAACATTTATGAGGGAGAAGATGTATCCAAAGTTTATTGATATTCTAAAACATATCCCAACCAGTTTTGATGAGAATGTGTTGGTATCTCTAGTTGATCGAATCCCCAGACCTCCCAACTTCCTTAAGCGTGTAACTTTTTTCCATCCGCCCACGAGTACAAGTGGTGGCAGTACATTTTCAAATAAAATTTTGGGTCATATGATCAATTGCGTGATAAATGTTTTGTTGGAGTTAAGTGGTTTGCATGTAGTAAGAGGAGATGGAAGTGAGAATCAAAGTAGCAAGTAAAATTTACCAGACTTGTCAAGAAGATTGTTTTTCTAGGAAGCCATACGGGTTTGCATTTTTATGATGAAGTTAAAATTAGATCTTTGTCACTAACTTTGAGAATAGAAAAATCAATATATTTGTTCAAAGAAGTAGTAATTCATATGCCTTAGATTGTAATTAGTTGATTGACTTTAGTTTGAGGGGTTTCAGATGAGTTGAAAGCATGAGACTTTAGAAGATTGATCTTCATATCTGATGTCGGGCTAAACTTGTTCAAGAGGGTGTCAATAGCTCTTATTTTAGACTCATTTGCCTTTTATATATAAGAATGTCATCCACAAAAAAGAAGATGAGACACATAAGAATGTCATTCACAAAAAAGAAGATGAGACACATTAGGTTCATTCTTAAAAATCTGCCTTTTATATATAAGAATGTCATCCACAAAAAAGAAGATGAGACACATAAGAATGTCATTCACAAAAAAGAAGATGAGACACATAAGAATGTCATTCACAAAAAAGAAGAATGTCACGCGCGCGCGCACACACACACACACACACACACACACACACACACACACACACACACACACACACACACACACACACACACACACACACACACACACACACACACACACACACACACACACACACACACACACACACACACACACACACACACACACACACACACACACACACACACACACACACACACACACACACACACACACACACACACACACACACACACACACACACACACACACACACACACACACACACACACACACACACACACACACACACACACACACACACACACACACACACACACACACACACACACACACACACACACACACACACACACACACACACACACACACACACACACACACACACACACACACACACACACACACACACACACACACACACACACACACACACACACACACACACACACACACACACACACACACACACACACACACACACACACACACACACACACACACACACACACACACACACACACACACACACACACACACACACACACACACACACACACACACACACACACACACACACACACACACACACACACACACACACACACACACACACACACACACACACACACACACACACACACACACACACACACACACACACACACACACACACACACACACACACACACACACACACACACACACACACACACACACACACAGAGAGAGAGAGAGAAGAAGAAGAAAGAGATTATTTATCAAATGAACCTAAAGTAAAATTAGGCCAACTAAACTCACAAATAAAAAGAGAAAAATTCACCTCATTTTAACTTGTCTTGTCATAAGTTAACTCACTCGATTTCAATCAATCTCATGTGTTAACTCATTCAAAATCGTATTGAACTCCAATTTTATATTCGATTTAACAAGAATTTCACATCCAAACACTAATAAATCACCCAAAGTTTTTGTTCTAACACGTAATTGTGACAATCGTGACAAAAGGTTAAGGGGTTACGGAGAAGGGGTGATGAAAGGAAGAAATGGTGGTGGAAAAGGTAGATTATATATGAGGGAAATATGTATATTGATCAAACAATTATTTATGTTTAAGCATAAAAATTCATACACTATACAGTGCGGGGTGATTTATTTATGTCTAACTTTTGATTGTGAATAAAATAGTAAATTATTCTAGAGGATTGTTTACTCCACCTGATGCCTTACTCACTTAGCCTAGCGAAAATTTCTAAAATACCTCTCAAATCATGATTTTGAAATTCGGACGCAAAACACAGGCTAAATACAAGTAAAAATAATGTACAAATTTTGGAACTCGAATGCACCCTAACATACCACGACAAACTCAGCCTCAGAATCACAGTCAAATCAAAATTAAAACTATGTCTGGATTTCAAAATACAGATTCCACTTATGGATTATAAAATTCGAACGTTTTCATTTAAGTACTTGCATCTTGTCTTTCCCTTCCATTTGGAATTATAAAAAAAAAAATCAGTGTAGAACAGAGCTCTCACCGGTGTCTACTCTTGTTCCAACATTGCTCCAATCTTATCTCAAGTTCTACTCCTGTATGTTCAAACCTAAGATCTTTATTAACTTCTACTCTTTTTCATGTAAGCTAAGCACATTGGTCTCTCACATTCGGTAAGTTTTCCTTTCTTTTTTGATTTATAATGCAAGTGAATCCCTATTAAGTTATAGTTATGTTATATTATGCTACATTCAATAGAAATATATGGTTTGTTTGGTCCTAATAATATTTGATATGAATTTGGGACATATGATGGTTAGGATACGTACATGAAATGGTTTTGCTCTGGTGCATTTAGTTTGGATTTTGAAATTATGACCCTTTGTACAGATAACAAAATTTGGATTTCACTATTTTAAATTGTGTTTGCTAATAATTGTTTTTTCTTCTTTGATTATGATATGTCTTTATAGAAAAAATAGTTGACAAACAACATAGATATACATGGTTGAGTGACTCAACGTGCTTTAGTGTGCAGAGAGAAAACTTGACACTCGCGACCCGTATTTGGAGAATCATCGCATACTCCTGAAGGAACATCTTCTAGGGGTTTATTTGTGGCTCATGATGATTCACCTGCTTCTCTAGTTCATGTTGATGTACATGTACATGATTCACATATTGCAGTTGGACCTGATGCCGTCACACCTGCTAGTTTTTAGGGAGGCTTCGAAGTCACTTCACTATTTTCTTTATATGCACATCATGATGCAATTTTTGTGTGGGATGGAGATGACATAAATGTTCAATTACTTTTTAAAAGATTTGTTTATACTAATTGAATTGTTTGATGTTGATGTATTTTTGCAGTACTGTGACACATTGAAATGTATAAACCATGGTAGAAAGATATAAAAAATGTTGGAGCTTGATGAACTATCAGAAAGTCTTGGAGTTATTTCAGCTGAAGGACTTCAGTATGACTGAATATGGCTATATTGACCATGGTCTATTGTCTACATTTATTGAGAGATGGCATGTAGAGACGTCAATATTTCATCTTTCAATCTGTGAGACGACTATAACATTTGATGATGTATCATGCCTTATATATCTTTCGATCACAGAAGGATTGTTGGATCACTCTAGAATTAGTAGACATAAGCTCTTGGTTTGATGGTTACACAATTAGGGGTTGATTTTGGTAAAGCCCAGAGGAAGATGGAAGACATTAGGAGATGTCATGCTAGATTTTTGATGTTACGGGTGGTGAGGAACAAGCCACTTATCATAGAGTATATGCATTAAGGATAAACATATTCTTAGACAAAAGTGTGGCCTATATTGAAGTTGTATACATTAAATGCTCACAAACGTGAAGAAGATTCACAAGTACATTTGAAGGGTATCTTGTTTGATTTACATGTAGTCCAAGTTAGCTTAAGATAGTTTATGAAAGATGAGACAGGTAACTTAAGATAGTTTATGAAAGATGAGACAGGTAACAGGAGCCAGTTGTCTATTTTAGTTAATTTATTTACACCCTTATTGATATTAATTTCATAATACTTTTGTTACATGCTTGATGATATTTCATATGAACTATTTGCAGACATGGATCTTCCATCATTTTCCAAGTATCGCCTAATGGGATTGTGTTGAAGACTACTTTAAGGATTTTTTGCGTGTGTGCTCGATTGTCCTACTTCTGGAGGTATTCCAACAATTGAGTCATATAGGCTTGCTTTTGACCACATCTTAGCAAATGATATTTATTTCACATCGTACGGTGAGGACCGTTAGACACGACAGTAGGATGTGATATTGTGGTACTCTGGATGGATGAATTGTGGGTCTCGACTTATGTACTCAAATTTATCTGAGCAAGTATTGCGGCAGTTCGGGTATTTACAGGGTATACCCAAGGACCCCACAATTGGTGCTTCTGCCACTATCCTCTGCAAAGATGTTAATGTGATATTTACGGACTACCATGAACATTTGGTGCTAGAGGATGTATGTAGTGTATCAGTTCCTTGTCCATGGATTGCAATATACGGCTATATTCGATGATTTTATAGTGTCTCATTCTTACATGACACCAGAAGCAAAAGAAGATCCCCCTAGGTCAGCTCACCAGAAGTTACTAGAAGAGGAACAAACGAGGATGGAGCATGTTG